TCTGTGGCATGGCGTCTTTTTCTTGCACACTGCTTTTTCTAAATTACAACACTGGTTCCCTGACCAGGAAAGGCTCTTCTAGCATTTATTTCCTGTCCACAGGCAGTTTAAGGCACACCAGGATCCTAGAACTCGGTCCACGTTCGACAGCCTCACTTCTCTGGATCACTGGGCCCCTTCGTCTATCATGATTGGTGAGCCACTTCCCTTTCTCCACCTTTGGCTATTTCACGAGTGAAGACTTGTCTGTCTCTTGAGCATGGTTTCTCTCATTTAGGCTTTATTATAAGCCCCGGTATCAGACAAGCAGAGCTCCTTCAGGCTCACAGCCGTTGGCCCCCACCCTTTGCATGACTACCCACTGGGCGGCCTGTGCCAGTTTCATTTCTTGGACCCTTGAGTCCTTCAGCTCCTGCCCCTTGATTGACAGATCACTGGGCAGTTTATGCCTTTCTCCTGATCCTCGCTTGATTGAAAAGCCATTGGCCCTCATTCTGCCTCATTCATGGGAATAAGCCTACCAAAAATCTGCTTCCTGGCATTCTATATCCTGATATTTTACAGGACCTTAGTTAGCAACATCCTGCCAGCCATCCTGATCTCTGTTGCATGCGGCATGTTTGCTCAGTGGCAGAGCTCACCCAAAGGTAGCCACTTCACGCTGGGGCCCTGCCCACCCGCTCCACCCTCAACAGATCTGCTCTTTCCCATCTGCAACAAATCTGCTTTCCTGTTCACTGGTGGCTTTGCCTTCCATCCAGCATTGTTAACTGGGGCTACCCGCCTCTGACCAGTTCCCTGGATGTGAGGCTTCCTTTCTTGAGCCCAGTTTTCTCCTTACCTTCTGGCTTTTCTCAAAGTCCTGGTACCAGGTGGCTATATCTCTCAGGCTCAGAGCCCTTGGTTCCCCGCCCTTTGTGTGACAACCCACTGAATTGCCTATGCCTCTCTGGGAATTTACCCTCTCTGATTCCTGGGACACTAGGAATTGCAGATCCTTGGGTCTCACTTCTCTGCCTCGCTCATGGGAACTATGCCACGGTCTATACCTACTTGCTCCCATTGGGATGATTTTTGGAGACCTGCTAATCAGCTATTGTTGCAAGACGACCAGCTATAGGCCACAAGCTGGAGGCCCAAGACTATCAAACATGTCTGGGTGACACTGTGGTGATGGGAAAGGATCAGGTGCTGTAAGCCCCCCCAGGGAGTCGACTTGGATCCTCCTCAAACAGCATTTTGCCAGGTCCAAGCATCACCTGACTGTTCTACAGAGCCTAGACAGTGAAGTGAAACAGTCAGCTACTCCAGGATGTGGCCAGCACCCAAGCTTCCCAGGCCCCCCCAAAGATGAACGACTCCCCCAAGTCAGCAGGAAGTAGCCTTGAGAATATATCTTCCTCACCCCCCGCCTCACCTGCTACCCATTTCTAACTCCTCGCCTTTTTATAATAAATTAAAAAAAAGAGGAGTATTAGCATTCAGGCATCTGTACTGGCCTGTTGGGGTTCTGACAGGCCATGTCCTCAGCTGCAGCCACTAAGAGCATCTCCTGTGCGCATTCACTATGTTCCCTTATAAAAGGGCCCTGTCCTCTTCTGGCTCTCTCTCCCTCTTCCTCCCTCCCCCTCTCCCATTTCCTCTCTTCTTCCCTCCCTTCCTCCTCCCCTCTCTCCCTCTCTCTCCCTTTCTCCTCTCTCCTCTTCTATCCCCAGAGACAGGTCTCCCCTTCCCCCTTTCCCATTCACTTCCCTGAATTTAAAAAAAAAACCTCCACCTGAGTTCTGTCACATGGTATCTTTCTCTCATCTTTCTCTCGTTTTTCTAAATTACAACATGCATATATATTAGTTAGAGAAACATTTCAATATACTTGTCCTGAAAAAAAAGATAATTCAAATAAATTGGTCATACAAATGATAAGTCTTGAATCCAATTTAAAAACAAAACACAACAATTTCTCCTTTGGAAAATTGCAATGAAAGTACATGCACTTAGAAACAATTGGAAATAATAAAATCTACTTTCAAGAAATGAGGCTAAATAAGAATTGGAATCTAAGAGAAGGTAAAATTCCTCAAATTTTTGAATTATTTTATTACCATCTGTTTTAAGATCAAAAGTTAAAATGTGTTGCACCATATTATTCCCTGAGACTTGTATAGTTCTTCACAAAGAAAACTAAAGGAAAAAACATAATTTCACAAGAATTCTGTTGTAAAAAAGAAAATCTTCCATCTTTTGCTGTCTTTGTTATTCTCAAACTAAAGGGAGATGTTATGGATTCCTGGTGATCTCTGGAGCCTGCAGAACAGGAGCTGTGTTCCCAGGCTGACACCAAGTTTCTCCAGAGTGTCTCTCTCTCTCTCTCTCTCTCTCTCTCTCTCTCTCTCTCTCTCTCTCTCTCTCACACACACACACACACACACACACACACACACACACACACCTACTTTTATTTTCTTACCTAAAGAACCTGGTCATTCAAATCAAACTTAGGAAAAACAAAGACAAAATAAGTCTATTTGCCTTCAGGTACTGGGTTTTCAAAGGGCAAGCCAGGCCCTTTTTGCACTCTATATTCACCTGCAAGGACCCCTGTGTGGGATGCCCAGCTACTCCCAAACCATTGTGAAGACCCTCCCCATCACAGTTCAGAATGTGAGGGACTCGGGACAGCTGTGTAGATAAATTGCTGAGGCTGAATGGCTCTATTGAAACTACATCCTCAAATATCATCTCCTCAACAGAAGGGAGAATGCTTGGCTGGATGATCCTGTGGTCCATCCCAAGCTCTCCCTGAAGCTTAGGGTGTGTTGTGGTGACAGATGCTGTGGAGAAACCTGTCATCCACTCCTTCCTTTTCCTTCCAACTCCCGTTTCCTTTTCTCAGGCATTCACCAGTGAGAACAAGTGAAGGGAGCAAAAAGATTAGTAGAAAGTGTCTCCGGTCAGACTGTTTTGAAGTTACAGAATCAGAATACATAAGGAGAATTCCCTTTAGAAAAGTGTGTGAGTGACAGATCCTCCTGCATGGATTGGATGAAGAGGTGAGTGATTGGTCTCCCAGCTGGACAGTCTCGCCCCATCTCTAGGTCTTAGGCCCCAGGGAAGCAAAAGCTTGGGGGGGGCAGCAGCTGTGAGTTCCTCTGGTTTCCATAGTCATTTTTCCATGAGCATATTGCTTGCAGAAGACATCGTCTCCATCCTAATGTTCACTATGACCATTTAATTACACTGGGCATCACCTATTGGAACCTTCTGATTGATAATAGAAATTCAGGAGCCAGAGGCAGGCAGATCTCTATGAGTTCAAGGCCAGTCTGGTTTACAAAGCAAGTTCCAGAATGGCCAAGGCCAGAAAAACCTTGTTTCAGAAAAAAAGAAAGGAAGGAAGGGAGGAGAGAGGGAGGGAGGGAGGGAGGGAGGGAGGGAGGGAGGGAGGGAGGGAGGAAGGAAAGGACNNNNGAGGGAGGGAGGGAGGGAGGGAGGGAGGGAGGGAGGGAGGGAGGGAAGGAGGGAGGGAGGAAGGAAATGACTATCAATTTTCTACTGCTTCCCTGATAAACTGGCACCTCCTCCACTCACTCTTTCAAGCCAGAGACTCTACTAGTCACCAATCAGTTGGTCCTCTGCCTCCTTCCTACCAGTTCTGGGGCCCAGAGAAAGTCCAGAAAGAAGATAATGAGTTCTTTTGGACTGAACCCCACTTCTACTGCACTATCAGCAGTCTCCCCGAGACCAAGGCCCAGGCATGCTTCCTCTTTGCTTGCAGAGTTCCATCTCAGATCTGTACTGTGCAGGCCCAGCGAGAGAATGACAGGTCACTCCTTCAAGTCTCAGGCAGCGGAAAAGACCTGAGAAGTCCATAGATGTTCATTGTAGCTGCAAGCAATCTTGACTACACACAGGACTGTGGTTCTCTGTACCATAACATAGAGAGTTTGGCTAGTTAGTCCCGCCTTAGAGTTTTCCCTAACAACACTTAGGATGACTGGAGTGCTCTTCTAGCTCCTGCTGCCTGGTACCTACTCTGTCTTACCCCCTACACCTGTGCACTCTTCTCTTTGTGACTCTGTCTGTGGCACAGCCACGGGAGGTTCAAAGCTGCTTGCTGTCTCAATAACTTCTTTCCATCTGTCTGGAACATTCTCCCTACCTATCTAACTAAAACTTCCCCTTCCATCTCCCACTCCTTCACCTTTCCAATTTAGCTTGCTCAAAGTAACACACGAGGAATCCACCAAGGGGACGGCTCTCATGTGTGTTCGTGTCATTTAGCTGTGGTTAAACTCACAGAGACACAAGTCTGCGGGGCCGAGGTCAGGGACAGCGTCCTGACCAGCAATGGTGTCTCTTCCAGCCACTCCTCTCAGCCAGCGGAAGGTTGTCCTTTTCTCAGAACTGAAATCTTGGATTCCCCACAAGGTTTGCGTGGAAGGCTTTAGAACCAGAATCTGCCTTTGTTTGCTCCCGAGAGTTACTTTGGGAGGAGACTGTTAATTAAAATGTCCTGGTGCTTGTCCCCTAAGGCGGTTCCTTCCAGGCTAAGAGCTTCCCAGAGCACACACTCTTGCCTCTCAGGTCCTGGCGAACGTGAGCGAGGATGGGAGTTCCACAAAGCACAAACTCAACGGATTCCACACAGAGCTGTCGCCAGCACGGGGCTGGTATCCATCAGGTTTTATTTATTTATTCAAGAAAACTTTAGTGACCCTGCCAGTTAATTACAGTAATGTATTCACGGATGTTTGCAGCATGATTGTTGATCCCTTCTGTGTGTCTGAAGTATTTCATAAGCGTTTCCTGTCAGAGTGGTGTATTCCTACTCAAGGTCGGTGGGGGTGGGGAGGTGCCAACCACTGTGTCTTTCCTATGAGTGGTGGGAGGAGTTTTTAGCATCCTACGTGCAATCAGCAAGTTAGGACAGGGAGGGGGCCTTGAACCTGAAGAGCTGGAGATTCCCAACATGCTGCTGTTTTGGCAAGAATCACCATCAGTCATGTTAAAGAGCCTTTACTTCTTAGTCCAGACATTTAGTTAGGAATGTACAATAGTCTTGACAGAAAGAGGAAAAGTACAACCTAAGCCCCAACTAGAATCAGAGCTGTGTTTGAACTTCATCAACGGGTGGTGGGTTTCCATCAGACTCAGTCTCCACAGGTAATAGCACAATAAAGAATTCTGCATGCACAGATAGAGCAGTTTTGACCCACGCTTAACCTCTTTCCTTACCGTGGGCCTGCTCTCCCTGCCCACCTGGATGGAGCACTCAAGAAGGAAGCAGGACAATTCTATTTTACACCATCAAACTTTGGCATTTGGGTTTGAGAATATCCATCTAAATACAGCAGGTCTGTTATTAGGTGAGTACTTGGTAAGCATTAGTGATGGCTAAACTAGAATATGCGGATATAACTAACTCTCCCAAGTTCAGCTTCTCCCATTAGCCAGGTGTCTGATTCATAAGCCTATTGAAAAATCCTTTTCTCTATCTGATGCCACTGCCTTCTTAGATTAATTTTTTAAATTGTATAGGAGTTAAACTAATCTCTGGATATGTCACACAAACATCAAGTCAAACCACCCAAAATGATGAAGTTGGTCCGTATTAAAAATGATGAAGTTGGTCCGTATTAAAGAGCCTTCCTCATTCATCTACCACAGCTGGCCATGATTAGAGTGTTGGGAAAGAGGTCGGTTAGCCTTGGTGGGTAAGTTACTCAGTCCGGGAATGAATCACGAGCACTAAATAACTGCCCCCAGTTTTCCCTCGTGTATCGTTTTCTTTCCGCAACCCTCTTTCATGAAGGAAAAACACAGAGTGACCTAGAAAAGGGCTAAACCTCAACCGGAAGGAAGCCACTCTGTTTCCAGCAGAACTCACTCCATCCTCCATGTCAGAAAGTATAATATACGTCGTCTGAAATGTTTGAAAACTTCAGTACCCCAGATTACCATTTACTGGTTTCCTGGGTCCTTAGTGACAAGGTTGGCCAGAGAGGTAGGAATGTTCGGCTCTGTGAATCTCCACCCTGCTCACAACACAGTGCAGCTGTGGTCCAGATAAGCAGGAGTGTGGCCTAGGTGCCGAAACAGCGTTTCCCAGGTAACAGACAACAAAAACCCCACACACATTAAAGTGCCTCTCTGCATTAAGTCCTGGACTGAGTCAGGCTGCGTACAGTAGGGGCTGTGGGCAGGTCAGGAACAGAGTACAACAGCCAGCAGCGATAGGGCCAGATGACCTGGTGCCATCAGTCACATGACACTGAGATTAACTGTGCACAGACTCACACACAAGAAGTATTCTTGGGGGGGGGGGAAGGAATGCAAATTAACACCTCAAGTGGCAGCAATGTATGTAAGATCAACATATGTGCCTTTGATATACAAGGAGAGTGCTTTAACAAATTTTCACTATTTTCTATTATCTATTCAAAATGTGGTTTGTTTTAAAAGAAAGCTAATGTAGGGCATATAAAGGATATCTAAGCAAAATTACTTAAATGAAATAACCAGAGTTAATTTAGCTAATTTACAAAACACAAGGCAGGACATCAGGATGGAAAAACGCATTTGCTTAGATCTTAAGCCCTTTATTGACTACAATGCAGAACGTTTTACTTTTTGACATCGGTGGGTTTGGTGATTTTTGGTTTTTGGTTTTGACATTTTTACACATTCAGCAGAAAACAAGAACCAATAACTATTAGTAACATCAGTAAATTAGAGCAAATATAGAAACAATTCTCTTTTGGAATGATGCTTCAACAAGCGGCCAGAAAAATCCCTCTTTCTTGCCCCAGACCTGCTACCCATGACTGTCCACAAGTGACAGTGGACAGCGGTGGTACAGAACAGCCAAGGCTGTCACTCTGTATGTGCGATGGTGACAAAATGGAGATTGCCTCTGGCGACTGAATGGATTTGCCATCCTAAATTGCTCTGGGTTTCAGAGAAATGACTATTTCCTTATGCACTGTGCAATGATTTTTCCAACTATCTCCTCATGCTCAATAAAATGTCATCCGGACACCCTTGGACTTCAGTGCATGACATACCAATGGCCACATCCATCACACACGCATAAATAATGAGGAGACTCATGGGATATGCAAAAATGAAAGGAAATAAATTGGATTTTTCGCAATACCCTAGTGAAAAAAATACATATTTCTTGGCAACTGTCCAGTTTTGGAAACAATGTCCAGCTATGACCCAATGAGGTCTGAGAGCCTCCCCCTGGGTTTGCATTCGTTAGGGCCTGTCCCCAGTCGTTTTTCTCTGGCATACAATCCAGTCTTTGGAAACACGAAATGCCCCTAGACAATGTACCCTTCTTCAAAAACCATCCCACTCAAAGATCCTGACTCAGTTCTTAAATTAATGCAGGCAGGCATGAGGGCTCTCAGGAAACGTCCTCAGAATGACATGCTTGCAATGTTAAAGACACCTGATAGGTCTGCATGCCACCTTATTAAATTAAAAGCACCTGTATATTTATATGATGCATCCAATGGCTTAGATATTAGGATTCTAGAAATAATACATGTCTTATAGCAAAAAATATACATATAATAATCCACCTATAGTTTATATAAATGATGAAATGTTTTGAATATATCTATATATCTATATATATTTACACACATATATACTCTGTGTATTTGTGGAATCGGGCACACAAACACTACAGTCCTTCATTGGCTCTTCCACATCAGTGTCAAAGACACTAGATTTCAAAGTCTTATGGACTGGAACAAAGGTCATCGCTGGGGACAGAGGACTGGCTTGATGCATCTTCCCTTATGAAGGACCAAGTTTGCTGGGCAGTGGCATCCTGCGATGCATGGTTTATTGCATGGGCCAATCTCATTCCAGTTGTCACAGGTCTTCACACAGCCCGGGCCACAGGTATCATACACAGCACCGTGTTTGCACTGAGTAGCTAAAAAAGAGAAAACAGGGTTGTGGTGAATAAAAGGTCATGCTAGCTCACCCTTTTTGTGACAAGTCTTGTGGGCTCTAGGCAACATATAGACTCTGCCACAGTCGAAGTGCAGATTTCCATTGCAGTGAGGGGATAGGGAACAGGTAACCTTCCTATGACCATAGACTTCACAACTGTTGGTTTTTTACAGACCTTACCTGGAGTCTTTTGAATGATATATTTGAAATTACCATAAGCACTGGCATTTGTCCATATTTAACTAATAGCAAACTATATGTAACAAGTTCTGTGATGGCCCCCAGAATGCCCACAGCTCTAGTTAAAAACCAAGCAAGCAAAGACATGGCCGGTCAAGAGTGATCAATTGTTTCCCACACGTGCTTCCGTATGAGCTGTTTGAAACAGGTTTAAGAATCATTTGAATGTTACCAACTACAGAATATTTTACTCTGGGGCAGGTAAGCTGGTTCCCAGGGGTCAAGGGATTGCTGTACAGACATGAGAGCTTTAGTGAAGGTTCCCAGCACCCCAAAGCTGGCTGTAGTAGCTCATGTAAGTAATCATAGCACTAGGGAAGAAGACAGGCAGATCTTTGGAGTTTTCTCACCAGCCTGTGTAGCTGAGATAGCTAGCTACATAGAAAGACACAGCATTGACCTCTGTCCTTCATACACATACACACACACATGTGCAACCACACACATGAACATTTAGTGTCACCCACTAACATTTGACTTCAAATTTGTTTTTTCATGGGTCCCTATAAAACCATGGTGTGTTTACTTAGTATCTAGTCTCTTATGGTCCATACGACCAAACTAAAAAATTATTAAATATGAACAATTATCCAGCACTTGTCATCTGTCTGATTCAGGTCAGAGGTTGAGTTACTAGTGGCCATTACTACTTGTTACACTACACTGAAGCTTTGCTGACTCCCATGCCTGGCTCAGCCTCTTAGCTTTCTGAGGTGTCTCCTCAACTGTGACTTCCTACCTAAAAGAGCATATTCTCTACACTTTACATGGTCTTCTCTTCCCTTCTTCCTCACACCTACTTTGACCTGAATGGTCTAGTGTAATGTAATGTAAGCTTGCTGAGAACAGAGCTTTCTGCCTGGCCTGTCACTGTAGCTTGAGAAACTAGCTCATTTAGGGGGATACAGAGCATGTTAGCTGTAAAGGCCATCAATAAATACTTGCTCAACAAATGAAGGAGGCTGGCAAGTGGCCATTTATGTTTGTCCCTATGAATCCTCTCTACCATTCCTCATTTTTTCTGTGCTGTGCTCTGTCCTCTATGGGAGGCCACAGCTTCTTTCTGTGCATGGTTACCCCCACCGTGAGATTGAAGGGAATAGAGAATGGGGCAGGTGTTTCAACTCCTCACATTGACCTGCAGTTGGTCACCATAGGCCATCTCTCCTTTCAGAAAGTCTTCATTACAGGACTCTCTCTGTCCCCAGGTTTCAAGAGCTAATTCCTCGCTGGCCTGATTGGGCCAGAGGACGTAAGAGCTTGTCTGTTATTAGAGTGGGGTGCTATGCTTCTCTATTTCTTTATAGCATATCCACGACCTCTAAAATACTTTGTCTCTTAAGCACACTCCCATTGATTTGAGTGTGCCTGGAAGCAAAATCATACAGGGAATAAGAAAGCCACTATTCTATCCCTTAGTGTTATACTCCCTGACATGACCTCTGTCCATGGTGTAACTTAAGATCCCATTGGATAAACTTTTCACAATTTACTTCTGTTCCTTGGGCTGTCAGAAAACACTTAGAGTCATCCACCATGATCTAGTGTTCTTATCAAGCAGGGCAATCATCAACACCACTGACCCCACCACCATCCAAAGAGTACAAATCCTAAATTTCCTAATCCCCCCTCTCTCACACACACACACACTTCTCCCTTTGCCCCATCTTTCCCCCTTCTCTCAGCCCTCTCGTCTCTCTTTCTCTCTCCTCTCCCTTCTTTTTTTTTTTGCCTCTGCTCTCTCTTCTTTCTCTCAACTTCACACCCCCTCCAGGCTGTTAAAGGAAAACACTTTTTCTTCATTCTGATGTTAGATAATAGATGAACTGGGGAGTAAGGAGACCAGCGCTCTCTTTCTATAACACTTTTGATTTGTGCATCTGTGATACCTTTTCCACTGAACTTTTCAAAGTTCTTTCCCCACTGATTATCAGAATACTGCATCCATTGCACATGCTTAATAATTTGGGAACACCCTAGCAGAATATCAGCTCACATGTGGTGTGCATCAGTGTAGTTACATTTCTCTGAAACAATGGTGGTCATAACTGGAAATGACAATTATTGTAGAGCTTGTGGATCAGTTTAGATCAACTCAATTAGACCCTCTAAAGGTGATGAGGCGGGACCAGGATGTCAGTTACTTAAAATAAATGCTCCCCTGCCCATGCAGACAGACTGGTGATTTCAACAATGCCATCAGGATGGAGATTTGCCTGTAAAAAGCTTTTACACTCAGCCTTCCATCACCGCAGAGATGGACAGTCACTGCTACCAAAGTAGGGGCAAAAAGGGAGTTTTCCTATCATTATCCTTCTCACACTCCACTGGAACACATCCTGGTCCACAGCATGAGCACTGTTGGTGTCTGGCTTGCATGGGTCATGAACCTTCTTAGCTCCTCCACACACCTACTTCTGGCCTCTCATTGCACCCAGCCCTGTCGACTATAGGTTTCTCGCCTATCCCCTCCCGTAGCTCCCTGTGCCATCTGTCTGCCTGCACATTCATCTTCTTCTCTGTTTGACAGAGCCGTCCCCATGCTAGCAGACTCCTGTTAAATGGCAAAGTTTACGGAAAAAATTATAGTCATTTTTCCCGGTTCTGTAATTCATTAACATTACAGACCCATCTCCCATCTATTGACGCTGCTCATTCTAGAGTTTTCACCAGCCCTTATATCTCCTGACATCCTGGCAGTTTTCATTCCCCCAAGAGCCCACTCGGTCATTTTGTCTATTAGGATTATGACCTTGTGCCCCTCTGGTCCTAGCCAACTCCTTACAGATGAGATGCATTTATCTCTTGGATGCCTGTGCTTGGTGTTGGCACTAAAGACTAAAATTGCCTGGTACCCAGTTCCCCTGACATTCTCTCGTCCTCTCCCCTTTCCATCTCCAACTCCAGTTTTAGCCCTGTTCTCCAGTTATACAGCTCTGAGTTTATATTATCATTGGCTCGAACTCTTCACCCAACCTAATTTCTTATCTTAACTCAAATGTCACCTCCTTCAAATAGCTCCTGAAAACCGCCATGTGCTTCTTGTCACTGTGTCTCACAGCCCTGCAATTGCTCATTTGTTTGAACTGTCCAGCAACAACGCAGTTCTGGTGTGTATGTGCATAGGCGCGCGCGTGTATGTGTGTGTGTGTGTGTGTGTGTGTGTGTGTGTGTGGTGTGTGCATGAAAGTGTGTTTGTGTATGTGGGTGTGTTTGAGTACGGAACTATGTGAATGTGAGTGAGTGTGTGAAGATTGTGTGTATGCATGTGTATGTGAGTACGTGTTGTGTGAGTGTATGTGTGTGTGTTTTGTTTAAACGTGAGCTGCACTGTGTTCCAAGCTCTGCAGATGTGATTCTAAGAGAAGCTCATAGGATTCCCTTGTAGCTCTTTGGAAACATATCAGCTTCTAGTCACATGTCTCATGATTTGTTCTGAGTGTGCAGCGAAACCCGCACAGGTATACATTTCAACTATTCTAGGAGTCACCATGACACACAGCTGAAAGGCATGAACTGCTGATGTCTGGGCTCCTGAGGGCAGAGCCATTACCCACGATAGCCCAGAGTTCTGACACAGGACCCAGTACAGGCAAACATTTCAGTGAGCACCTACTACATTGTTTGTTTATCTATTCCCTCCGTTGATGGTTCCATTCTAATGGTATCTAACTGTTAACTCCATTCCAGCATGGGCTCCCTTTGGCCAATGTTCAAGTTCATTTCCACACTCCTGCTTCCTTGCTACCTTTTAGATCTCATCCACTCAATGCCTTGTCCCTTCAGCTCTTGTTGGAGTTCTCTTAGCAGGACATTTCTCAGAAGAGATTCCTCTTCCCATGGCCTCCCTCCTTACAGCTAGGACCTACTCTGTGTCTTCTGGTATGTATTCCCAATTTTTTCTAGCTCCACCACTTTGTTCCATCAATGCCCCTTATCTTTCCCATATCAAGAACAGAAGTCTTTTTCAGTCTTAGAGTAGAAAGGAGACAGAAGAGAATAAAGTAAAAGGACCAAACAAGATGTACCATAAAATATCATCTTAATTTCAATTCAAATAAATCAACAAACACCTATCAGGTATCCACTACATGTATTCTTTTAAGCTTGGAGAGCAGATGTGATCCGGATTTCATTTCTGACATCAAGTCACAGAGCCAGGGGACACGGACACAAGCAGATTCGTCATATGATGTAAGATGCACAGTCCTGGATAGTGACACCAAAAATACTGACTCAACACCGAGGGTCAAGCGGGGATTGAGGGACACTAGAGAAAACAAGGCCACTGAGGTACGAGAAAGCGAGCAGAGGGCCCGAGACATGGTTCAGTGTGTACTTAGCACATGCTAGGCCCTGGGTTTGAAGACCAGCAGTGCAAAACAACAACCAGTAAAACCTTGTGAGAACACAAACATTAGAAAGAGGTTCCCACGCACAGAGGTACAAGAATCAGACATTAGCGTGGACAAGATCAGGAAGCAAGAGGGCAGTGGTTGAATCAGTGTGCATGGGAAGAGGGGACAATCCTTGATTTGGGAGATGAGTAAGCTGAGGAAGGAGAATGGTGATAGAGAGAGGAAGAGACCTAGCCCGAGGCCAGAGAAGACACAACGCCCTGCAGAGAGAAACCTTTGATGGCTTATAACCTGCAGGATGACACTATCAGGTCCGTCTTCAGCACTGCGGCCAGAGGATCCTAGAAAGCAGGTACCCACTGGAGCCCTTGTTTACCCTCTG